GGGCGCTGTTCAAATCCGACGAGTATTAACACTATATCACAGAATAGTGTAAATTAATCCCCTAACCAAGCTTGCTCTGTCCGTATTTTGTCAAAAGGCGGGCATTATTACCAGTAAACAAAATGTGGGTGTCAGAGCAGGGGGGGTTAGCATTTTTTTTATGAATTTATATGGAAAAAAAAAACCTTTTGACTGATGTGGGCACATTAAATAAAACCTCTGACAAGTTTTGCTACATTCTGTTTGTTTATGGTGGTCTTTAAAGATGTACCTTAAAAACGTAAACAAAAAAACCCGTGATATTTTTCCTAATTATCATCGTTAGAGAAATTCTATATTTATTTTCGTTGAAACATTTATTTTATATGATCGGAAATAAATGTGTCCTGACCAGGAGGATCCTGGCCGGGCCTCTCCTTTTGGCTAATTAGTCAACAACTATAACCCTCCAGCGCGGTCTTATACACATGCTTTCATGAAGCCCCAAATCAAACGCACATCGCCAGCTTGAACTGACAAGACCAGCTTAAGCAGTCGAACAAAAAAATCACTAATAAAACCACCAAAAGACATAACTCGTGAATTTATCTTTTTGGGGCATTCGTTTTGTATGTGCATATGCCGCGTGGCATTAAATTAAACAAAAAATCATGCAGCGAGTATCCGCTGTTACAAGAAAAAAAATGTCACGATCCTGTCCATTGTTAATTTCTAAAGACGTTGACGGGTCGTGGTTGATTGAGCTTAGGGGCGGAGCTAGCAAGTCAGAGCTTTTTCATTGGCTGGGACCAAAACGGCCGTTTCGTATGTGTGCAAAACGCATGAACACTACTAATACTGCTTCACCCGTTATAGAATTCCCGCTCAAAGTCACTGTGCACGGTGTACTAATAGCAACGTGCATTAGCATTTCAGTTTCAAGGGTCAGGCCTAAAGTTCACGTACCATGACCGTACACGTAAAACGGTAATCTGGCTTTCATTTGGCATTTACATAACAAGCATATACAATTTCAATCCGGGCTTTCGGGCTAGCTCCCAGGGTTTGATTTATGGGAGCTTGACCATAGTGTATATGGAGTAGGGTTCAGGGTCAGGTCAGCACTGTCACAAGATGAATGAAAAATACGCTAACTTTAGGAAATCCTTTTCTAAAAAGGGTCATTTGTATAGCCTATAGTTTGGACATATTTGGGTTGAAGCGCACGGAGACATCAGTTTTATATTGTGTTCAAACTCGATTAGTTTTACATATTTCTCTACCTTAAAAAAAAAAAATCGTTATTTTTCCCAGGTAGGCCTACACAGGTATCTATACCCGAGTGCACTGGCTGCAGGATGTACATCCTGCAGCCAGTGCACTGGCATGTTGAAACTTTTAACCTCATCAGTCTTCGAGGGAAGAAGTTTCTAATTATTTTTGAAGACCATCCCATACCTCTCTTCAATGTTGTTGCCGTAAGTAATTCAACATACATTGACCTTTTGTACATGTATTTCTGTAAGATGGTAAAATTAACTTTTAAAATGTGTTAAAAATACACCTTGGTCGAAATGTGTTAAGTGATTACCCCATGTTCACCAGACACTTATATTCATTCCATTTATGTATTCATGAAATGAATCTATACTGTAAAATTCAAGACCGTGAACCCAATGCATGCATAGCCAAATCCATCCAACTCCGCATTTTATATCACACTACCACGTCCGCCTTAACAAAGCCATTCTTTTCGAGTCATGCGCCAAAAAGATGCGTGCCCCGTGCTCTCTCTCTAAAAAAAAAATATAAAAAAATAATAAAAGTTTGCGAGAACCTCCCGGGCGAGAGCCGACTACAATAATTGAATGACGTTTATGGTTTTTATCGTTAGATGTCTCATTCAAAAATGAATGTTTTTCGCAGGAAAAAAGCAATTGAAAAAAGTAAATAAACTTTCGGGCTGAAACTTATAAGAAGCGTGGACAACCGATTTTTTATCAAAATAATTATGCGAATATCAAAACTGCTACTGGACGATTCTTCTTCACATTTAATGAAATTGTTTCGTGAGAAATTCAAGTTAACTTAAAAAAAATATCTTGAGCTCTGTGGTAATCAAATATTTTCTGTATTATATTCAGGTGCCAGCATGACATCGCATGACATCTTTTAGAAATGGTAGGCGATATGTGCTTGGTAATCCAGAAGGGTCAAGATTCAAGGTACGGGTATTAAGAAACCAACCATTGCAGTCACTAAATTGATTGGTCCAAAGATATCAGCGACAAACACCTTAAATACACTTCTGAAACGAGCACCATACACCTAATGCAATGCCGACTTCCAAAACCATCAACTTGGGGAAGAACCAACTTTTTGTTCGTTGCGTACATGCATTTGAACATAAAATGCGTTAAACAAGTGGCGCTTTAACTCTCAGGCAGGATTTTTGGTTACCCCTTAAATTTGAGAAATATCCTTGAATCCTTGACTTCAGGGTCAACTTGAAACAGGAGGCTCGTTTATTTATCCCCGTCTCTCATGGGTTAATCCTAAAGGGGCCGGGGGGGCGGAATCCGCCCCCCCCCCTCAACATTTTCCGTGATAGCCTCTAAAACATTTTTTTTCGCGACCCGAGCTGTTATGACTTTTTAGCCTCGAGCTAAAAATCGGACCACGGGTTGCCGCGTAGCGAAAAAAAAATTCGGCGTTACGCGCCGTGAAAACCGAATTTTCGCATATACGTCGTGTACACAGAGCAGAATTGCCATTCGTACATATGAATAATTAATTAGCCATAATTCCAAAACCCTTTGACCTATAGTCATGAAATTTCTTGGGTATGTTCAGGAAGAGTTGCTCTATGCATGTGCCGAGTTTCAGAATTTTTCGTCACTCGATGGCCGAGATCTTGGGGGGGGGGGGGCGGAATCCCCCCCCCCCCGGCTGAGAGATGGTCAAAATAACCCGGCCCCTTTAGGGTTAAAGATTGTAGAAACACAGGCACAGCTCTGCTTGAAGTATACTAAGAAGACAGACACTAGCTGGATAGTTTGAATGTGTTAGCTGGGATATTACATTCACTGTGTGGACTTCCGAACAAAAGAGGTCCACAATAAAGGGAGCAGCGACGTTGTGTGGACTTGCCCACGTCCACACAGTGTTTCCCCCTCTATGGAAAACCGGTTTAAAGGCATTTGGGGGTTAGGTTTGTCTATTGCAAATAGAAAAGAAACACTGTAAGGAATCATAGAAAAAAAATTGGTTGAAAGAATTTTCTTGCACGAAAACAAAAGAATGTCCATACTCGGTATGTAACGTAAACATTATGTGTGTGTGTGTGTGGGGATTCCGCTGCGCTCACCTCACCCGCATTGCTGCATAATGCAGAATAGCACCGCATAGGCTGGTTTCGAGTGTACGGCCGGACAGCGGGTTGCAAACCGGATGCATTATAGGCCTAGCTATAGTGATACTTAACTCTTCGTCGATTCATCGATAAAGAGTCCGAAAAGTATTCCCTGCGGTCATGACATCCATTAATTAGACACGGTATTTAGAGGTTCACCGGGGTTAGCCGAATAAACAAAAAAACATGTTAAACGTCCTGCCTTTTTGATAAAACAAGGAAGTTGGCCCCCCTTTTGTATTTTAATGGCCATCGCTTGGACTCAGGAAATGACATTCCAGCTTAATATGGGCTAGATGCCACAGACAAAGAGGCCAAAATGATGTCACTGTTTAAGATTTATCATTTGTCGTTAAAAAAAAAAAAGAAAAAAAAGGAGGCGGCCTCCAAAAAGGAATCGGGCGGGGACCCTCAACATGTTTTTTTTATTTTTTTTATTTGGCCTTAAAGATTTGAACTATACAATGTAGTGACACTGACTGAGGGCAAAGGTATTTCAGATAAGATGGTGAATGCATCGACACCATGGGATTGAGGTTGATGATTACAAACAGGACGCTGGGATACGCTGATGAGCTTCACAGAATCTTGTGAAGGAAGTGGCCCATGACCTTTGTATAAAGCATCTGGGTCAGCTGTTTAAGACCGCAGTTAGCCCATGCGTGCAAATGCTTTCCGAAAACTTTCCCATAGAAATGCGCACATTCCATACCGGATGTGAGGCAGTTTCATTGCGGACCATGTGGACAAAATTTTAAGCGTCGCACAATGCAATCCTACCGTTCATGATTCAAAACGGAGCCTGAGCAAGTGACGGGAATTGTAAATTTACAACTCCGATAAGTTTTACAGAATTTCCTACATTATTACGCTTTTTTCAACGGGAAACAAATCTCTAAACTGGAATTAAAGAGTAATAAATCAGTCTTAACAGCCGTTTCAAACCTTGCAGAGTCATGACCGTGTTGACGCGCAGGTCACAGGTCACGCAAAATCCAACCAATCAGAGCGCGAATTCATCAGAGTATCCAAGCGTCCTATTTGCAGGGCGGGAGTGCGAGCGAACCTTTGCCTAGTTTGGTTCACAGACCAAAAGGTTCTGACTATTCCTGATGAATCTTAGGTGAGGTAGCCTCCGGGAATATATTGTATTACAATTTACGTCACGTGACAAAAAACGGGAGGAATTTCTCCTTTTCCCAAAAATGTCCCAAGTTTTTTTCCGAATTCATTTCGTAGACAATTGGACAGCGCCCGAGTATTTCCAAGTATAGTGTAGGTTTAATTAACTGCTAATTGCTTATTAAAAACTTTTAAAATGAGTTAATAATTAATATTCATTGCTTTCACTAAGAAAACTTGAAATTCAACGACGGATCATCTGGGCGAACTTTTTGCTGCGTCACGTACTATTTTGAATTTGCGACCTTTACAGAGATTTTGCAAAACTCGGTCTTCATTCGGCTCCGCCTGCTAACAGTGCTATTTGGGTGCCTAAATTTTAAGATTCCAGATCAACATTAGTAAATGTTATCTTACAGAAATATCAAACTGGATAATCATAACTGTTTACGAAGCAAGTGATTTATTTTAAAAAAAATTCCTAGTTTATAACGTTTACATGAAAACAAACAAACAAACAAACAAACAAACAAACAGTCAGCAGCCACCAATGTGGCATGAAGAGACCAGGTACGATTCTTAAATACCTAAGTTTACCCATTCCTATTGGTTGGGAGCCCGTTACGTGGCCGATCGTAAAAAGGTTGATAAAACAACCGGCTGGCGTCTTCTTTGCCAGTGTAATATGAAATTTGACTCCTATGAAATCCAGTCCCTTTTACTCTTGTATTGGTTGACCGGCTCGGGTCCTTATCAGCGTCCAGACTCCTAACATTGTGTTTAAAATCGGCCAAATACATTTTTATTCCCTTATTAATACAATCTTTTTGTACTTACACAAAATGTTGAGAAGATGAAACATCACTTTTGAAACCATTAACCAATTTAATACGCGTAATTATTTCCATGTTTTTTACTACAACCACAATTTTTTTTTTTACTGAACCTAAAAAAAAATTCAAAATAAGGCAAAAACAAAATCCTTGAAAGAGAAAAACGCCACAGGGTTTCAAGTCTTATTTCCAAGCGTGTACGACCATAGATTCATAACCGATGAGGACATGTCTGGGCTGAGACTTATCCCCATAGCGATCCAAAGCCCACTGCCACTGGTCTTGCAAATAATCATCCAGCGCTGCCGCTGGTATCAACGGTGTTTCTCCAAGATTTGTCTTCAATGACACTGTTGAAAAGAAAGAAGAAAAATCCAGGCGATTGACGCGTGCACAAGCGTGTGCACATTCTGATTGAATATCTGATAAGCACGCTAGTCAATAAAGGGATTAAAAAACACCAAACTTAGTCTTCAAGGTGGAGAATTAATGAGTAAAATATTTTACGGTCCCACTATTATTATTTAATTATGGGCAGTGAATTAACCAGTCCTTCTTTATCTGTATCCATACTCAAACTACTTCATTAAACCATTATGCTATATTAAAAGAAAAAAAAAACAGCAACATTTGAATTAAACGCCAATTTTCTGAAACACTTTGCAGAGAAAAGGCATCTTTTTTACGATTGAGGGCGCTGAAACTGCACAACTTATGGGATATGGGCTACAAATTAATAAACAAACGAAGTGTCAATTAAAGAGATGTAAGTTTAAAATGATGGCAATCTTTAACAACATGCGTTTTATACTTCAATTCCGTTTGTTTTAAACTCCATAACTGTGTCGTTACAGTGTCTCAATCTTGAAAAAAAAACCGAGTTGGGTCTCGAACCATGTGTCTTGCCTGCTTTCGCGATTATCTGTAAAGAGTTACCTTTGACCTCGGTGTTTGACCTTAGACATCATTATCATTTGTTGTATCTATGACCCAAGTTTGGTTGTAATTAACTTTTGAAATAAGACCAATTTTACATATTCAGGCAATTATACAACTTGACCTCATATGACCTTTCACCTTGGTATGTGATCTTTGACATCAGTATCATTATGAAGGTTGTGAAGTTTTGAAATGAGACCAATTTTACGAAACTTCAACCAAAATACCAACTACATGTATACTACATACATGCCCACACAGACACGCACACCCAGTCGTTTTTTGCTATGCTTCCGAGGATTGGCTTTGTGTGTTCACCGTCGATCGTGGACGTCCTATTGTCCCTCTTTTGTTTGTACTCTAACTTTTTAGGAAAACTCCCATAGGTTTTGTACACGACCCCAATCGCGGACGTATGATGGGAATCGTGAATGATATTGTTCTCTTTTGTTCCCTGGTATTTTTCGTCCACTGTTTAAAAAGATGAACACGTACCCACCCACCCGCACGTTTGTTTGTGGTGTAAATCGAGGATTTTCTTTTGTTCCGCTTCCCTTTTCCTTTGTTTGTACCTTTTCTCAACAGCTCTCCGATGATTGGTTTTGCACACGTTTTCGAACTGAGGAGTCCTTGATTCGGTTTCTGACCTCGATTCACCGATGATATGTGTGTCCTCGATTTACACCATAAACAAACGCACACCCACATACTCACACACACACACAGACAGACAAAGTGATTGCATAGTCTCTTTCCTGAACAAAGTTTAGGCGAGACAAAAATAAAGCCCTTTTGATTGTTAAAGTCTGGGCTAAAACGTCCTCGGTTGATATCGTTGATACTGCTATAGCCTCTTCGATTTCGTTCACTTCTCTGGTACTGGTATTAAAAGAAAATTGTTGATTGCACTCTTTTAATCATACATGTGGTAAGAAAGCAATCCATTTTGTTTGCAAAAGCTTACATTTTAACTGAATTTCAGACAGGACCAGTTCGTGTCTCCGCACTTCACACTTAGCCTCGGCCCAGCCAAACGCTTTGAAGACTTTCTGCGTTTCTTGAACTGATAGGTTCCACATGAACAGTGATGACTTGTAGTCCTGAAAGACAAAAGACAAGGCAATACACCTCTGTTACCGTTCTGTCTGTGTCAAAAAGGCCGGCATGTGATTTTTACACCTCTTTAGTTAACATCATTGATTGAGGCTTTAAATAAGGTCTTTCCACGCATTTTTTAACACTAGTCCGGTCAATGTAAGTTAAGACCTAGAACAAATTGCAATAGAAACCATTCAAGCCACAAACGACTTTAAATAAATACACAAACACCATGTGAAAATCTCATTCTATGGAATGGAAGGGTTTTTTAAATCATTTTTTAAAGATTAAAATGTGGGACATTTTGTCCTCAAACCATTCGTCTGGTGACTTACTTCGACTTACATGTCTGTATATGATAGGATAGGATGCATGACCTCATGCGAGTGCAGTAGACCACATGTTTCAAGTCTTCATTTTATACAGGGCACTACACTGCAAAAACTGTGGGGTAAATTCAACAATGGTGGTATCTATATAGGACCAGGGGTGTAAACGTTTTATACCCATGGTCTGATATAGACACTATCAGTGTTAAAGGTTTTTGCAGTTTGAAAAGTGTTCCGCCGCCGCTGGTCAAGAGTGAAATGCACTACTCCAGAAAAGCATATTTGACTCCAGTGTTGTAGTCGAGACCGGATAGTCCCAGACCGAGACCAAGACCGAGACCGAGACCAGCCCCTCCAAGGCGGACCGAGACCGAGACCGAAATGGTCCGAGACCGAGACCGAGACCGCTCATAATAAATAACAATAATCTAAATAAAAAACAAGACATATAATTATAGTTGTAAGTTGTAACCTTTCTATTCACGAAGATTACAGACAAAATTTTGACCAGTGGCAGTGTTGACAAATTGATACCTGACACCTTACTTGAGCAAAAAGTAGTTACACTTAAGAAATATGGGCTGTGATATGTTGTCTGCACCCAATCTTGACAAAAGTAACAACCGGTCTCAAGACCTTTAATACTGCTTGAGTCCCGACGAAATGATTCTTTCGGAATGAAACAGACCTCGGTTTGTTATTACTATTCAAAAAGATGATTGGCATGGTCCACCCCTGCCCTCGGCCTAAGACTTTGATCTGGGGCACGTTTATTACTTATAGAAATAATACACTTGTCACGCTGCCTAATTTCTTTTCTCTAAAGCTCAGAATTCAGCTAAAATTTTAATCCCGTTAATTTGTCTTCGTAAAGTTTTTTGAGTATACGTTCATTTTTTTTGACAATTTATATCTTATTTATAAGTTATGCCGATGACCTAAACGCATCACAAAAGGATTACACGAATCTCGGATTTGGATATTTCCACTAATATTTTAGAGTCCGGTCTAGTGCGGTACACACTTGAAATTTAACTTCAAATGGTTTCTCGCCCTTGTATCAAGTATACCTGTTTATGTTAAGTTTTTCCATAAAACAAATGGTTTATTGAGCACAAAGTGATATATTTTAACCACTAAATAATTCAGGCAGTAAAACAATCTCAAATTTCCTGATTTTTTTTCAAGAAAATATCCTATAGTATTGTGCGGAAGAGCAAATTACCATATATTTCAATAATTGGTTGACATAGAAAAGTCGTATGCTGTGATCAGTCGTTTCTCGCAAAGTCTCATACGTGATGTGAAAGGATATTCTGACCAGTAACGGACGCAAAAGAAAACATGACGCTCTCCATACGACTGTTTAGGTATGATGAAAAAGTAGTAGAGAAAAAGTGAACAAAAACACTTCTCCTCTCCATGATAAAATTCCTTAGCGTGATACAGCATTAAATACATTTTATTGCAATTTCTTCTAAGTCAGCTCCTGTGTTATTCTAAACTAACCGAACTATATACCTGTCAGCTTGTTAATTGACTGTTAACTTACATATTGGGTAATTGCGCCCCCATGAGTCACGTTGGGCCACCACTTACATTTCGTAAGTACCCCCCGCCCTGCAAACATGACGCTGTGTTACGCTGATCGATGAGCTTAACAGAATCTTGTGAATGAAGTGACCTGTGACCTATGTATAAAGCATCTGGCTGCAGATGTTCAAGTCCGCAGTTAGACAATGTGCGCAAATGCTATCGGAAAACTTATCATAGAAATCCGCGCATTCCATACCGGATATGATTTACTGTTTCATAGCGGACCATGTTAACAAAATTATGAGCGTCGTATAATGCAACCCGACCGTTTGTGATTCGAAACGGAGCCTGACGGGAATTGTAAATTTACTACACAGATAAGTTTTACAGAATTTCTTACGCTAATACGTTTAAAAAAAAAAAATCTCTAAACTGGAATAAAAGAGTAGTGACTCGGTCTTAACGACCGTTTAAAACCTTGCAGAGTCATGACCGTGATGACGCGCAGCACACAGGTCACGCAAATTCAGAGCGTGAATTCATCAGAGTATCCCAACGTCTGATGTTTGCAGGGCGGGGGTACAAGCGAACACTAACATCCGATTTTCAATTTTTTGCCGTGGGCTTGAGCTGCTTATTGGTGGGTGGGTGGGTGGGTGGTGGGTTGGTTTGTTGCAAGGGCGGATACGGGGGGGGGAGGGTCATGCCCCTCGCCCCCAAACAAACCCCTGTTCTTGTTTTTTTTTTTTAAGTGACGTCACAATAAAGGTAGGCAATGAGTACACCACCATCTTTTCCTTAAAAAATGGTTAAAGTGGTCAGATATTGCCTCATATTGCACCACAGACTATCTAGAATCCCCCAAAAAATTCGGGGCCCTTAAGCTGACCCCGAACCCCACGCCGTCATTTCTGGACCCACTTTTTGGGGGACCAACATTTTGTTTGGCCCCCTCCAAAATTGTGTTCTGGATCCGCCCTTGGTTGGTTGGTTAATGGACGCTTTACTCGGCTATGTGCAATTTGAGTATTACAGCTTTGCATTCGAAGACCGGTTGTGAAAACACTGATGCGACTGCATTTCATTTGCATATTTTTGCATATTAGATCACATTCGACTTGTTTTCGTTTTCTGTACTCTCCAGGTACCGGTACGGCCAGCCCGAGTGCGCGGACGGTGCCGTAAGCCGTCTTCATGATCCGACCGCCGTGGCGTTCTACCACTTGGTACTTGTTTCTATGCGGTTGGTCCCCCACGTTAAGACGAAATCAGCAACGCTGTATAGTTAACATTTTTTTATCGGTCTAAGATTTGACCCGGATTATGAATGCATCTCGATCTATACGCAAACCAAACAACAAAACTGATCCCCAAAAAGCTTGATCCAAATGAATTCGGAAGGATAACTGTTTAATTATACGTGTACCTGCACAAAAGCACCCCACTTCTCGTGACTTTTCAAGAACGAAGTCATTTGGGTGAAAATGAGGAGGTCATCGTGGTTGTCGATGATAAAAAGTGCTTGCCCGCCCGGCTTCAGACACGCCGAGATGCTACGGAGCGCTTGGGTCTGCTCGGGAAACCAGTGAAGAACGAAGAAACAGACAGCTTTGTCGAATCCCTCTCGCCAGTCTGGGTTGTCTCCCACGGCTCGGGCGTCCCATTGACTGTATGCTACGTTTGGTGCCGAGTTTGTCTTAACGGCCACCGCTACCATTTCCTCTGAAGCGTCAACGCCTAAAGGGAAGGGGAACAGAGATAAGGCACTCTGATGGATATGATGGTATATTAGCGGGTTTTTTTGCGTAATTTCAAACAGCTGTGGGATGATCGTTTTTTTGAGCGTGGTTAAGCTGGAGGATAGAATAGTGACACAGGACCAGTGGCGTAGCCACCGGGGGGGGGGGCATGAAACCTTGTCACCCCCCCAGTCGCCCCCCCCCCCCATTGAGATTTAGAGTTTCTAAAAAAAATATCATTGATCTACATGACGCCATGGGCGTCAATCCTGGGGGGGGGGGTAACAGGGGACATGTCCCCCCCCCCCCCACTTTTTGAAGGGTGGGGGACACAATATCAAAGTCCCCCCCCCCCAGATTGTTGAACTCGTGTCTCATTTACAGGGCCCTATTATTCACTACAATGTATTTTTTGCTTAGAAAATATTGGTTAAAGTGGTCAGAAATTGTCTCAGATAGCACCACAGAGCATTTAGAATCCAAATTTTTTCGGGGCCCTTAAGCCGGCCCCGAACCCCACGCCTAAAGCTCAGAATTCTGGTAGCTGATTCAATGACTCCAACCTCGAAAACAATGTTCCATTTTTTTTCTTATGCCTTTAGCTGAGAAAACCTCGAAAATTATGTTTAAATTATTATCTTTTGTGCTAAGATAATTATTAGTTAAAGTGGTAAGAAATTGCCTCAGATCACACCACAGAGCATCGAGAATCCAATTTTTTTCGGGGCCCTTAAGCGGGCCCCGAACCCCACGCCTATAGCTCAGAATACCGATAGGTGATTCAATGACTCCAACCTCGAAAACGATGTTCAAATAATTATCTTTTGCTAAGAAAATATTAGTTGAAGCATGGAGGAAAGTGGTACGAAATTGCTTCAGATCACACCACAGAACATCGAGAATCATTTTTTTTTTTTTTTTGCGGGGCCCTTTTTTTTGCGGGGCCCTTCTTTGCAGGTCCCTTAACCCCACGCAGTTAGGGCTTCGCGCTTCGCGCTCGCATCAGTTCTGATAAAGGTATGTCCGCCCCCCCCCACTTTTGAGAAGCGATTAACGCCCCTGCATGACGCCCCCCATGAAATGTTCAAGCCCCCCCCCCCCTGCGCCCCCCACTGAAAAATGTAAAAATAAAATAAAATAAAAGTCTATTGTTTTAATCCTAATGACCTTGGCCTTTGTCTTATGGGGTCCAAACTTATATGTTATACTAGCAAGCTACATATACTGGTTAAGTAAAAAAAAACATTAAAAACATAAAAAAAACAAATCAAATTAGAGGTTGTAGGAACAACCACACGGTGTTGGGCCATGGATTACCGCAAACTTTGCCACACACATCAACTCAAAATATGCATGTTTAAATCCATGTTTGACTTTTCAACATGCCGCCAGAGGGCGCTCTAACATTTGATGACGTCACCTGTAATTTTTTTTTAACAGTACTGCCTAGGCAGACACTCAAATCGTTGAAAGCAAGTTCGCATCTTCTGCAAATTTCAATTAATAAGGCACTTCCGGTTTTGACCGGAAGTAAGGGTCACGTGATTTGGCACTTAAAACCAAAAATGAAGACCCTGCAATATATTATCGATTGCCATAAAAAACAAAAACAAACCTGTAGCAGTTGATTTTATATTGATTTTCAAAGATTAAATATGGAAATATTTATTTTATTGCAATATGACACTTAATGACGTCATTGTGACGTCATCGCCAGAAACCTCCAGAGCTATATTTACTCTGCTATACGTAGCCACATCTTGATTATATCTCTCACGGTTGATTTTTTAGCAATTGTTTAAGGTTTAAAGGTCTTTTCATTATAACTTCCGGTCTGATGACGTCATCCAATTTTTTCGCGCACAGGAATTTTCTGCATTAAGTTCATCATGTATGTTAGGTTTGAGGCGATTACCGCAAATTTCGCCACATACATCAAGTGATAATGCGTTTTCGACGTTTTTTAAACATGCCGCTAGGGGGCGCTCTAACATTTTATGGCGTCACCCATTACTTTTTTTGAAAAGTCAATCCAGGCAGACACTTAAATCGTTAAAAGCAAGTTCATATCTTTTTCCACCTTTAAATGATTAGGCACAAGTCACGTGATTTTACGCGCACAACATAAAACGAAGATCATGTATTACCATGTCGATTCCCGCAAATTTCAGGTTCCGGTCTCTCACGTTTGATTTTATATGGAATTTCAAAGATTAAATGTATTAAACTTTCGAGTGACGTCACGTGACCCATGATGGCGTCATGATTACGTAATTGCAAAAAAACCACATCTGCTGTGAATTGGGCATTCATGTATTGACAAATGAAGTTCATATATGTTTCCATTTTTCCAAACAGTTCTGGAGAAGGATTTGCTATGAATATGCTGAGAAGAACAAAAACAGTAAATTCTTACAAAACCAATAGGTGTTGGGCTCAAGGCCCAACCACTAATAAAACCCTTTGGGGTCCAAACTCTAGCAAGCTACCTTCATTGTATCAAGGTTCAAGACATACATGAACATACAATCCAGACATCGCAGTGGAACCAAATGCACACGCACACACGCACAGGAACGTACCGCACACTAGTTCCACCGGAATGTTACCGCAGGAATATGTTACCACAGGAATATGTTACCACAGGAATATGTTACCACAGGAATGGTACCACAGGAATGGTACCACAGGAATGGTTACCCCATGAATGGTACCACAGGAATGTTGCCACAAGAATGTTACCACAGGAATTGTACCACAGGACTGTTACCACAGGCATTGAACCACAGAAATGTTACCACATGAACAGTGCTGTGGTAATGTCCCCCCAAAAAACACAAGAACTTTCCTGTGGTAATGTCCTGTGGTATTTTTTCGTGGTAATACCACAGGACATTTTCGTAAGGGCGCCAGCTGCTCCAGGGAGGAGGTGTTGACGCACCTATTTTTCCGGCTATCGTAGGTGGAATTTTGTGTGTTTGTTTTCTCGAGAAACTATATGTGAGCAGTATAGCCCATAAAGCCTCCTATGATAGGCAAGAAATGCCGACTTTTTAGACAACCCTTCCCGTATGTATGGCATACGCAGTGTCCCCCCTCCCCCATCCCATAGGTTGGGGCAAAAAGGAAGATAGATGTCCTGTACATACACTGTATGTTTTCGGTGTGGCTGTTCTTGCACAGTATAATGTACATGAATACGGGCACATGTATAGTTCATGTACATGTGCATTTTGTTGTTGTACACCACACAGTATTACAAATGCTTAGTACACTTGCTGGCTATAATATTGTTGAAAGGGTCTTTTATTTGTTAACGTCGCGGTTTCCACATTTTTTTCTTCAGCAGTGATCGTCAATTGATCACGAATATTCAGTAGTTTTAGGGGAAAGTTACGTTTATTCATGAGAAAAGAACAACGTAACACCAATGTTATTACTTAATGGATATTTTATGCCCCGATGGCAAAGACGAAGGAGCATACTGTTTCCGCCTTGGCCGTCCTTGTGGGTGTGCTCAAATGTGTATCCTTGTGGAGACACGAACACAATAGGGAACAAAACATTGTAAAGGTCTCCACAAGGCAATTGCTATAGATGAATAGGTCTCCACAAGGTTTTCACGAAAACGATATATGGATTTTACTCAAAAACAAGGAATTTCCAAGGTGGGTTGATTTGTCGCAAATGGAAGAGTTTAAGAAAAGGGATATTAAGTCCGAATTTCAGCAAAGGAAATTAATTCTGGTTAAAATAACAGCATTTTGAAACTTCAATTTCAAAATTGAAAACTGTACTACACGAGAAAATACAAAAGTCTCCACAAGGATACACATTTGAGAGTGTGTGGTAATGTTCCTGTGGTACATTTGTTATTATTCCTGTGGTAAATGTTCCTGTGGTAACTAAATGTTCCTGCGGTTCATTTGGTATTGTTCCTGTGGTAAATGTTCATGTGGTACGTTGTTTTTATTCCTGTGGTAAATGTTCCTGTGGTACGTTGTTTTTATTCCTGTGGTAAATGTTCCTGTGGTACGTTGTTATTATTCCTATGGTAAATGTTATTGTGGTACGTTGTGTACGTTGTTATTGTTCCTGTGGTAAATTGACCATGGTATAATGTTTTGTGGAAATGTCGCCGGGGGGGGGGGGCAAAGTTCCTTTGTTAGTTCCTGCGGTACCTGTTCCTGCAGCTGTGGTATTAATGTATATTTGATAATGTTCCTGCGGTATTAATGTTCCCTTGGTAATTGCTGGATGGGATTCCATTGTTTCCAATTGGACGGGATCCTTGAGGTAGAATATCCATGGTTTCTTCTTCACATGTACCAACATCATTGGTGGAAAATAAGTTAGGAAAGCTGGAAAAGAAACAAACTTGTTAGTTTGTATGAATCCATATGGTGTTCAACAAAGAAAAAAAAATGAGCAGATGCAGTTCCCCTTTTAAATTGTATTTTAGTTGCAGTCAAACTCGAAAACATTTTTGTTCATTTCTGTAAGGCCAAAAAAAAAAAAATACTTGGTCTCTGGTCAGACCAAAGTTCCGGAATTGATGCGGCGACGCGACTTTTTTTTTTTTTCAAGCTTGGACTGTTCAGACAAGGTGGGGTACTATTTTTGCATTTTTTGGTGTCCTCATGTACATTGGTGTCCTCCATAATTTGCCTTAGTGCCCTCGATCATTTGCCTTGGTGCAATTTCCCGTTCCTTGGTGCTCCTTGGTACACAAATTTGAGGAGGTGCGGCAATAGAGGCTCCTGTTGGAGCTACCGCCGAAAATTTTGGGAAAAAAAAAGATTGACGCGCATGATTAAATTCGACGCGCGTGCTGACCAGAGACCGACTATTTTTGTTTGGCCTAATATACGTTTTTTTTATTAAAAACAAATTTAACAATCAACGTTTGTAATAATACCAAAGAGTGCATGCAACAACCGATCACTTAACCCTAAAGGGGCGGGGGGGGGCGCCCCTCAACTTTTCCGCGATAGCTTCTAAAAAAAAATTTTTCGCGACCCGAGCTGTTATGACTTTTTAGCCTCGAGCTTTGCGCATCTTTTGATACCAAAAACATAAAAATCGGACCACGGGTTGGCACGTAGTGAAAAATTTTCCGGCGCTACGCGCCGTGAAAACTGAATTTTCGCATATACGTCGTGTACACCGAGCAGAATTGCCATTCATACATATGAATAATTAATTAGCCATAATTCCAAAACCCTTTGACCTATAGTCATGAAATTTCTTGGGCATGTTTAGGAAGAGTTGCTCTATGCATGTGCTGAGTTTCAATTTTTTTTGTTACTCGATGGCCGAGATCTTAGGGGGGGGCGGAATCCCCCCCCCCCCGGCTGAGAGATGGTCAAAATAACCCGGCCCCTTTAGGGTTAAGTATGGAATATTTGCGGTAACATCCTGTGAATTGATTATTAACTTGTGTGTAATTTACGAATGCAGAAGTTAAACCAGGAGAGTAATTTACCATAGTCATGAGCAGATGGTGTTACCGAAGTTCGTCCAAGTTCCATACTTGATATATAAAGTAATGAGTTTGCATTTAACTTTTACTATGTTTAAATCTAAATGTTTGGTGTCATTTCAGGAACAATATATCTTCTTACCCCTTTTAAATTCCCAGTCAAATCACTTGAAGACAAAGTTTTCCAATTTGACACAAAGAACACTAACAGTTTATACTTTTGATGAGGCAGATCTGATAATAAAGATGGCACCGAACAAATGCAGCATTGTCATCAAGTCATATGTGACACGGTTTAGAAAGAGCATGGGATTTTTCAAAAAAGCTTCCATGTTGAATATGCGAGGATGCAAACTGGACTGAATATTATATAATGCCAATGACAAATTGTAGAGTTTTGCAACCCCACTAATTGATTCTATGAAGTTGTAATGGGAATTCCTCACTGATCCACTTACCCGTACATTAGACAGACCATGGAGCTATACAAATAGCTCAATGAACAGACTACTGCAAGATCCATTCAGCATGACTCGATCCACTCGGTCCAGTTTTCATCATCCAGAAAACTTAACATGCCACCTACTAATACTATAGTATGTTCAAGCTCACATTAACACACTATATAATACTGGCAATTGATCTTTGCTTATAGGCAGAAGTGAGGCACTTATTTCATACAAATATTCACTGTTTTGAATTCTGCCATGTCCTGCCCCACGCACAACTGTACTGCTGCTTGTAGTGCTGTGATTCAAACTGTACTGGTTTTGCTCTTATTTTAACCAGAATTAGTTTCCTTGGCTAAAATTTGGAAATAATATCCCTTTTCTAAAACTCTTCCATTAGCGACGGATCAACCCACCTTGGAAATTCCTAGTTTTTGAGTAAAACCCATATTTCTATTTCGTGAAAACCTTGTGGAAACCTATTCATCTATAGAAATTGCCCTGTGGAGACCTTTACAATGTTTTGTTCCATATTGTGTGTGAGTCTCCACAAGGATATGAATTTGTGGTCAGTAGAGTAACTGTGTGGGTGACCGTTCGTGTGCAGAACATGACCCCTGCATGGTTAATACACTGTGTATATGGAATCACGCATGGGTCACGCATGGGTCACACACTGAACAGGGCACTCAAGCTCACGATGTGGTTGTGGAGAACAGGATACAGTGTACCTTGCAATACACATGTACATTGTACATGTAAGTATGCATGGGCTTTATGTACATGTACTGTACAGTAAACTTTTAGTACATATTGGGGCAATATTTGTACATGTATTTTTTTATTTCGGTGTGTTCTTATTCGGGTTTATTAGTTATAATTTATGTACATTGTATATTGGATGGTAATCTTTTTTTCCTTTGGTAAATTATGTGGTAGCAGAACTATCATATTTTTTAAAGTTGCACATATAAGGCGAAGTAAAAAAACAAAAACAAAAAATGTTTCTCGTCCCTGCCAGCTTCCTTTTTGGAGGCCCCCTGGATTTTTTATCATGTTTTTAATTTTGAAAAATGCAGTAAAACAAACACCGAAAGGTACACGGTTAAACTGCATATGCAAACTGTTCATTGTAGACTAATACAACTCTAAATGACTGTAAATGTGTTCAGTTCTCTTGTCTAACTTGTCTTTCATTTTAAAAGTGTCTTTGAACAGTGGAAACACCAACGGTTGCAGGAAATTTTAAAATGGCGGCCATCTTGAAAAAAAAAGAAGCCCCTCTCAGCTTCCTCCTTTTTTTCAAAAACACGGACGAGAAACATTTTTTTTTAATACGGCCTAAATATACATTCGGCCTAAATATATCATTTGTGTGTGTGTGGTATTTAGCATATATGGTACAACAGAAGTACCACATGATATCGAAGGAACCACACACATTTATGTGGTACTCTCCTCCAATTCCACTGACCTGTGGTAGTTTGTGTGGTATTTAGTACAGTACAACAGAAGTACCACAGGATATCGATGATTGGTGGCAAATACCACACACATGTGTGCGGTACTCTCCTCAAATCCTACTGTTCTGTGGTACTTCGTGTGGTACCTACATGTACCACATGAATACCACAGGACCGCGTTGGCATTACCACATACATTTGTGTGGTACTCTCTTCATATATACTTTTCCTGTGGTAATTTCTGTGGTAAACATATGTACCGCAGAAGTACCACAGAAATACCACAGGACATTTCCGTAAGGACGATGCAGAAGCCGAGGAATGGAACTGAATCTTACCTGTTACACTCTTGACTTTCCCTGCCATTGACTTGGTTTCTTCCCCAGTACCGCATCCAACGTCCAGTACCGTGTCTGTTGGTCTCAACTCCAGTTTGTCAATGTGTTGCATGATGACGGAATGTTGTAAGAATCTGCCATCCCCGCAGTAGTCGTTACTCGCTGAGAAATTCATGAGAGATGCTAATTTGTCACTGGTCGAAACAGACTATGAAAGTAATGATAATCTTTAGGAACTATGACTGTGTCTGAACAACCCCGAATGACTTCATTCACACACTGAACTGTCGGGTATCAAACGCGTTTTGCATGATTCATGTTCAGCATTGACGGCATACGACCTTGAACTGTGACATGAACATTACGCTATCATCATACATTGGCTCTCTCACCCTGGTATTGACGTTTGCATGTGCAAGATTTTTGAACACGTGGGCAAATGAGGAATAGTCTGGTGCGTGCTGGTGCGTTACATTGCGTTTGATTTTTTATGCAGTGTCGGGGTAAAAACAGAATCAATTCGTCGCAGCGCGAGCATATGGCGTGAGTTACGAAAACACGCTTTTATTTTAATTAAACTGTTACGATCTTAACAAAACAACTTGCAGTATCATATGTCATATTAATATTAACAAATTAGGAAGGAAATGAATGGTTTTGAGAAGGCGTGGACGAATGATCGCGAAAACACGTACTGCACGTTGTGAATAACAAACCACGTACACGATATAAATCCATTTCTGGCCAATTGCGGTATAGAATCAGAATACAGAAAGAAAGTGTCGTATCCAGGGCTATTGGAAACGAGGTTGGAAATAAAGTGAGCACTCGGGACGAGGTTGGGGGAGGGGAACACTCTACGCAGTGGCGGATTTGCCCCCCCCCCCCCCTCCAGCCTGAGACAAATGTTGTGTAGAATGGGGAAAACATTTATGTTCAAATTGCCTTAGTTAGAATGCAGGAGAAATCACGCTGGTACCATCTGTCGATGGGGGCGCTTTTCAAAAACGACGATTATGCACACTAACGCACAATATAACGGTGCTTTTCAGGGCGATACGTACGCGACGTTAAATGGCGACGTTAAATGGCACAAACAAGGTACGACTTTTTTTTTATAAAAAGAGCACTTGTTCAGAAAAAAATGTTCTTGTTAAAAGAAGGTCACTCTTTACAAATATTGGGGGGGGGGGGGGGCAGTCTTTACATAATATGGGGGGGGGGGGAGTATAGATACCCCAAGGCTACGTCTATGCTACTAAACTCTACACAGTGGCAGTGGCAAAAAAATAACTTCAACTTTAACTAGTAAACATTTTAACTAATGTTGTGCTCCTTAACAATTAGATAATGAAATCGAATTTGAAAAACCTGTTACACTCTTGACATCCCACGTCCAGTACCGTGTCTTCTGGTCTGAAGTTGAACTGCAGTTTGTCGATGTATAGTCTTTGAATTAGACCATGGCGAAAGCCATGCTCTATGATGCATGAGCAGAGTTTCTGATTAATTAGACAAGACCCCGCCTCTCGACCTCCTAGATTTTGACTAATCAGCGGGCTCTTTCTATTTCGGGTCTTCGGTCATTCACCCGTTGCGCGTCACGGACATGGATATAAAAAAAAAACTGAGTCACGGCGGTGGCGGCGCTCTGTATCATGCTACGCGAATGCGCGCCCGGCTGTTGTTGTCTCACAAAACACTGCATTCGAATTCAGTCAGTTGCCGTGTCACGCATAGCTGCTCTATTTTCTCGACCAGACAACTGACAGCAACGCGAGGCCAGCGAACGATGGCCGTAAAAAGGGCTTTAGAAAATTCGCAATTTTCATGCCAAACCACAACTGATCCAAACAAACAAAGCTGTCTCAGGTAGTTAAAGACCTACTAAATGCATCTATCGAGGTATTTTTTTGTAAAAAAAAATGATTTTGATGAATGTTGACGATATTATTTCACGGACAAATCGACTAATATTATGTCAGGAAATATACGTTTTTTTTTTCGACAACAACGAAAGTCTCCCAAATGTTAATGTACTCAAGGGAACGAATGAACCTTTATCTACAAAAAATCTCGGGAACGTGATGTCGTTAATATCTTAAGAATTCGATGTACACCTAATGTTTCTAACAACTTTTCGTTGGAAAACAACAATATTTTTCACAAACGCGAAAAGATCGTCGCTATTGCATGCATCGAGCTTGAGATGGCCTGCTTGATATTCATAAGTCATTCATTACACGTTCGCACGTGCTGTTCAGGCCGTTGGCCTCATGGTTGGCCTACTTACGTTCGTTTACACGCGTACATGAGATTGCAAACCATGGAATCTCGCAAAAGTCTTCTGATCATTTTACAACCGGCGATTTGAACTAAACATTAGAAGTCTCCTGCACGTGTTTCACATGAAAAAGAAGCGTATACTTTCCTCTATCTACTAAGCCTTGCCATTTCTTCAAAAGCAGTTATTTTTAGTATCAAAATAAAGCACACGACTTCAACTTTTAACTTATTTAGCCATCTTGGCCAAACAGTGCACGTATCCAGGTACTTTTGTGTTACATCTCGTAAAAACTCGCGTACGCTTTTGGGCTATGCGTGCGTGACATCAGAAACTGAGAAGAAACTGAGGTCAAACAGGGCTGTGTGCGCGACATGACGTCGACACGGGGCTTTATCTCTATGGCCAAGGTCATCAGGCCGACTGCGCGCTTTGTCTGGTTAACATGGGGTCATTTTGACCAAAAAGGATTTGATGATGCAAAACGCGTCTGATACCCGACAGTTCAGTGTTTGAAGGAAGTCATTCAGGGTTGTTCAGACACAGTCATAGTTCCTAAAGATTTTCATTACTTTCATATAGTCTGTTTCGACCAGTGAAAATTAGCATCTCTGATGAATTTCTCAGCGAGTAACGACTACTGCGGGGATGGCAGATTCGTCCATTATTCCGTCATCATACAACACATTGACAAACTGGAGTTGAGGCCAGAAGACACGGTACTGGACGTGGGATGCGGTACTGGGGAAGAAACCAAGTCAATGGCGGAGAAAGTCAAGAGTGTAACGGGTAAGATTCAGTTCCATTCCTCGGCTTCTGCATCGCCAGCTGCTCCAGGGAGGAGGTGTTGACGCACATATTTTTCCGGCTATCGTAGGTGGAATTTTGTGAGTTTGTAAGTTTTCTCGAGAAACTATGCGAGCAGCCAAAAAAGCATCCTATAATACGCACGAAATGCCGATTTTTTAAACACCCCCGTACATATGGCATACACAGTTTTCTCCCCCCCCCCATTCAATAAATTGGGGAAGAAATTCAGATAGATAGACTCTGTTGGACCAAACTAGATAAAAATTCATTCGTTTGGTAATGCGTTTTAAAATTCTTAAGGGCTTCATCAATATTAATGCCCTTCATAAGTTTCATCCAGCCTCGAGAATTGGGCGAAATAATTATAGCCTGAAACTCGGTATTCCTTTTGCCCGAACTGATTGTTTCAAACATTCGTTCTTTATACGTACTGCAAATGAGTGGAAAAGTCTGCCCGAACACGTCATCCAAAGTCCATCTGTGAATGTGTTCAAAAGTTCCCTGTTTGATTTCTTGACCTTTTAGCTTAATATAGAATCTTTTTATTTTTGTGTTTTTATTAGGCAAGTTTTTCGTTTTATATCTTTACATATTTCATTAGATAATATATCTATTTTCAACTTTCATTTTTGTTTTATTATTATAAATTGTAACTCGTTTAATGCTTCTCTGTTGTGTGTAATTTGGTTTTGTGCAATTCCATTATTGTTTAATGTTATTTTGTTCTTATCTTTCAGAATTATATTTTCTAGTGTAAAAGATTGTTTGTTGCGCGTAATTGTTTGATAATATTTCTATTTTATCTCCTTTGTTTTTGTTGGCCAGTTGGTTTTAGGGTTTTTTTTTTTCCCACTTTTAAATTTATATGTACTTATTTTTAACGTTTTATTATTGTCTGTAATGTTTGTCCGCGCATCAATTTTATAAGCTGTTTCGGTTACAACCGAAACAGCTCTTGTTTTCGTGAAAGTTTTTTTAGCTGTTTCGGTGACACACCGAAACAGCTCTTGTTTTCGTTAAGATTTTTTTAGCTGTTTCGGTGACACACCGAAACAGCTCTTGTTTTCGTTCAGATTTTTTTTAGCTGTTTCGGTGACTCACCGAAACAGCTATTGTTTTCGTTAAGATTTTTTTTTTCTTTGTTTTTCTTTTTTTTTTTTTTTTCTCCTTTTTCAGACTTTTTCTCCATAGGTTTAACACACGTTTCTTCCACCAGTCCACTTTGCCACTTTTTTGATTCGAGACTTGGTACATACTTAGAACACCACCCACAGATGGTCCTAGAAGAAATTTGTGATTGTGACGTCATCAGGTGTCAGGTTACGTCACATTAAAGATGCATTTTCCCCATATGTTTTGTACACGTTTTAAAACACTCCAGTTTGGCATCTTCCTAAATCCGATCGACCTCAGACTTGATACATACTTAGACCACCACCCACAGATGGTCCTAGAAGAAATGTGTGATCGTGACGTCATCTGGTGTTGGGTTACGTCACATTAAAGATGCATTTTTCCCCATAGGGTTTGTACACGTTATAAAACACTCCACTTTGGCACTTTTGTAAATCCGATCGACGTCAGACTTGGTACACACTTAAACTACCACCCACAGATGGTCCTAGAAGAAATTTGTGATCGTGACGTCATCAGGTGTTGGGTTACGTCACATTAAAGATGCATTTTTCCCCACAGGGTTTGTACACGTTTTTCTTCAAATCATACTTTGGCACTATATGTCTGATTGACTTTTCACTTGGCAGATGACATTCGAAGTGACTTCATCAAGTGTTCATCACGTGCACAGAGTATTTCAAATATCCGAAACAGCTTGTGTTTGTCCACAAACACATTTCTAGTTTTTTTTTTTTTTTCTCCTTTTTCAGACTTTTTCTCCATAGGTTTAACACACGTTTCTTCCACCAGTCCACTTTGCCACTTTTTTAAATCCGATTGTTTCGAGACTTGGTACATACTTAGAATACCACCCACAGATGGTCCTAGAAGAAATTTGTGATCGTGACGTCATCAGGTGTCAGGTTACGTCACATTAAAGATGCATTTTCCCCATATGTTTTGTACACGTTTTAAAACACTCCAGTTTGGCATCTTCGTAAATCCGATCGACTTTAAACTTAATTCATACTTAGAACACCACCCACAGATGCTTCTAGACGAAATTCGTGATCGTGACGTCATCAAGTGTCAGGTTACGTCACATAAAGATGCAT